AAGACACAATGCTGATGGGTGTCCTGCAAGCACCTAAAATAGAAAGGATAACAGATGGGATCGATACCCCACAAACTAAGTTTTGCCTCTCATTGAAACCAGACTTTCAAGATAGCTTGACTTGTCTCCACTACAGAAGAGCTTCCATTGAGGCTTATTATCTCCATCCTCACACAAGGTGAAGTATACAGCACATGATTATTAATAAACATTTGTACGGCACCATACATTTATACTGCTGTTTAAAGAGATTGATAAGGCACGTTCCCTTTCCCCAAGAAGTGTATAATGTAAATAAGTCAATACAAATGTAGGTTAGACAATGGTCAACAGTTCAGGATAGAGCTGGTCAAAAAATGCAGGAAAATTGTTGTCCAAAAAGTTTGATTTTTTTTTTAATTGAAATATTTCAACAAGCTCAGAGAGCGGTAAAAAAAAAGTAGCAAAAATTCCTTGCAAAGAAATTTCACAAAAGTAGACAGAATGAAAGGGTTATTAATAATGATGAAAGAAAGAGGTGCTTGAAGGACTGGGTATTAAAAGATGAAGGGAAAGATGATCTGTTCCATGCAAAGGGGGCAGCATGATTGGAGTGCAAAGCTGGAAGTGGGAAAAGAGAAGAATAGATGATGTACAGGAAAGAGCTAAGTAAAAGCAAAGTTCAAAATCCTCATGTATACTACAATGTACTTTACGATTGATATCTATTTCCACTAGATGCTCTTTGAAGTACCCTAGTGGCACTTCAGTGTGGTCATCTGATCTGTTAATTACAATAGGTTCTCAGGAAAATTAATTAGATTTGATGAGTTCTGATTGGAATCATTGCTTTTCTCTGTGTATTTTTAAAGAAATAGCTTGCTTTGGAGAAGTACATTATCTTGGTTTCATTGTGTCATTCCACTCCAGGCATATTACACTGAGATGTTATGTTACCTAAAACCTGTTTTCAAACCTTCATGAGCTGTGGGGGTGGCTAAAACCTTTAATACTGAATACCTGGCTGCAGTGGGCCAATGACAACAAAGGTACATATGGGGCAGATAAGCAATGCAGTAGCACTGAGCCTCTATCATTACAGGAGACTTAATAGTGGGGAAATTAGTTTGCACTCTTTTTTGCTGCTTTTTGATTTTTAAAGATTGGAAATTCCCATCTTGTCCACTCCATTTTCCGTAGGAGACTATGGCCTTCTGAGAGGTTAGCATATTTATGGCATTAGAGGCACCAAGCAAGGAAAACTGATTAACTGAGAGGGGAATAGATTTTTATTGAGACTGTTTAGAACTCTGGGATTTTTTCTTGTTGTTTAACACCTCTTTAACATATACTTGAGAGAAAAAGCTCTCTTTGTTAACGATTCAGCATCTCCACCCCTACAACTAAGATTGAGAAAGCCCCCAGTCCACATCTCTGAATTATCCAAGAAGTCCTCCAGCAAAAACAGGAAAGATTAAAACAAAAAAATCAGACATGCCAAGTTTTAAATTAATAAACCAGCAAATTATTTTTAATAAAAAGTAAATTAATATGCTATGCCTTCAGGCCTCCATTATACATCATACAGCAGAAAGCGGGGGGCATATCCTTTTTTTCCTGCTTTGCACACCACCTATAAAAATGCTGTTTGATTTACATTTGGAACTGTGCATTGTTTATGATTATGATTTAAAACACTTAGAAAGTTTCATATTCTCCCATTCTTAGACAAACTAAGTGACTCACCCAGCACTTTCCATTCTCCTCTCAGTATTTTACAGATTTCAGGATAACCTCCCATCACACTAAATTGTTTTATAAGAGATCTAACACGATTTTGCTTTTGCAAGATTGGAGTACAGTGCTTTCTCCATATTCTGGCATGCCAACAGCTCCCCATTCAATATTCCTTCCAGCTTAAGCAGATGGTGAGTTCCAAAATACGTACGTATGGATAATGTTTCGTGACTAACAAAAATAAGCTGCTCAGGACACTTATATCTTTGAATTAAATAACTGGGGATGTGTTCAAGAAAATCCTTTTACATATTGCTCTCAGGCTCCAAAAAGTGAATTTTTTTAAAAAAATTGTTTCTAAAACAAGAGCTCTAATAGTTTTTTTGATTTACAAAAGGCAATTTAACCAATTAAGGCTCACAATTGGATCCTCACAGGCAGACTCCCAAGGCTGTGCAAAGCCCCAC